TGGGTCACCGGCCGCGTTCAGCATGACGTGAGCACGCCAACAGCCAAGTATCTCCTGGCTTATGAGGTGTCAGGGCACCCCAAACCCAGAAACTAATTTTACAGTGGGAATTTTTGCTGATGCAGCCCCAACGGGGACTGTAAATCAAACACCTTACCACTAGCAAGTGTGGTGTGGACTTACACATGTACACACACAGAGCTCACACACACACCCCCTCACACACACAGAGTCCAGGAAACATCAATGGCACAGCAGTCCTTTTTTTTTTTTTCTTTTTTCCTTTTTTTTTTCTTTTTTTTTTTCTTTTTTTCTCTTTTTTTCTCTTTTTTTTTTTCCTGTTTCCTGGGAAACACCAGTGAAAATTCAATCTAAGGACTCCCAAAGTGACAGACCTTCTCAGAAAGATGATAACTATAGCATGGTAACTCTTCATTTCCCTTACACATGAAGGACCACAAGGCAAAATACAGCCTCCAATGTAATATAGTACAGGAGAGTGGCTATGCCTTTCAGAGTATTTTGAACCCTCGTGCTTTTTCTTAAGTTGCAGAGCTGGAGACCTCCCTTGAGGGAGACACTGATCTAAAAATGGTTGTGAGCTTGACACCTTATTCTTCAGTCTATATGCTTACTCAGGAAACACCATACCCAGCAAAATGAGCCAGCCCCACTGAATGCCTAGGAGACTCGGCAGATGGGAGTTTTACAACTGTACCTCATTTATGGCAATTTGATTGCAGCAAATGATGGATAAATACAGGACAGATTTTAATGTCTCTCCAATTTTGATAATACCAACAAGACAGTCCTTCACTTCAAACACCTCTGTAAATACCACTTTATATGATAAATGGACTTTCACATGCTCATCAGGAGAAAGCGAAATGTATGTTTACACTGCTCATCTTCACATATGCATATGGATCTGAAAAGAAATCTAATGTCTAGCTCACATGGTTTATTCATAGGGAAATGAAGCATCCAGCAAAGGCCTACTGATACAGAAGGAAACCATGGAGACCAACAACCGTGCTACTCAGCTTGTGCAGCAGCTCAGTAATATGAGGGATAACATTCAAGGTAAATAGATTTCTTTCTGGTTCGGCTCAGTGTCAAACATGTATTAATGAAACCTCCGGTAAAAAAATGTCTTAGCACCTGGGCACTCTCACAAAACAACCAGCACATAAGGCTTCTGCAGCCTGTAATGTCATGGCAGGAACTCGTCTCTTTTAAAAGACAGCTGACACCACGGGCTAAGTGGGTCGGACACTCAGAACAAGAGCTTCTCTTTCTTTTTTCTCCCTTTGACAGAGCAAAATAATAGTAAATAGGTTTACATGAAATTCTTCAAGGTAATTCAGCTTGTAGCTTTTGTTTGTTTGAATAGTTGCTCAAGGTATTTGTATACACTTGTGGTAAAAAGAGTCAGTATCAGGTTGGGGCTGGACACAAGCACAGGATGGGCGATGAGAGTGCTGCGTCTTAGCAGATTCATGCAAGTGCACTTTTCCCATTCTGCTGATAAGTAATGGAGGCCACAGGAACAGCTAGACAGATTTTTTAAAAATTGTGCTTCCCCTTTTGAAGCCATGGCAGTCAGTGAGGTGTGACTAACTCTGGTGATTGCATCAGTGAGTGTTACACTAAATCCAGATTTTGTCTTTTAGCAAACTGTTGCTGAGCAGGATTGTGCTGGTGCCTATAACTTCATGCAGATGCTTCTAAAAAGAAAAGCACACTGAATAGTAAATAATTTCATGATCTTACTGCTTCCCCAAGCTCGGTGTGGGAGGCAATGGTGATTTGCTTTTCAAGCTCCTTATTGCTTCATCTGACCAGAATTCCCAATTGAGTGTGGGTCCAGACACATCTACAGAGCATTACAGACTTACAGACTAGCTGTTGTCCTCTTGTTTTGCTTTGGTTTTGGTTTCGGTTTGGGTTTTTTTTTTTAATAGAGAAGTAGATTTGGAAAACTACAATCTCATTGCCTTCTTTTTCCACAAAGTGCTGCCTCTAATAAAAGTGAAAGGCAGAATTGTAAACTGTGTGGCTTATGTGGACCATCAGAAATTATTATAGTGATGCTGTTTCACAGTGGGAGAGGTAAACATGATGATGAAGATCTCCCAAAAAGGAAAAAAGTGAAACCAAGAGCTTTTTCATGTTAAAATGTTGGGACAAACTGTCACCTATTGTCTCAGTGTCCTGCTCATCTGTCCATATGATGTGAGGGGATGCAGATAAAACTTATAAAGTCTGTCCTTGGGCAACATGCTAGAGCAATAAATTTCAAAAAGTAACTTCTCTTCTGACTGTAAATCTATATATTTTACACCTTCCCAGATTAAGATTTTTTTATTATTATTTAGAGCCTGTAAAACCTCTTGCATCTTCAAGAATGTCTACTGTCCTATATATCAAAGGATAAATGACAACAGTGAACACCTTCCCAAGCATAACTGCACTTAAAAAAGATTTCCTACTCAGAGATGATCATCTTCATCCGGAATATCTAAGACATGTCATTATCATGCTGATAGATAAGACTGAGATTAAACCAATTGCAATCTCTTCTTCAGTACCTACAGAAAGCAATAAAACCCCAAGTGAACGTAGTCCAAAGCATCCCTGTCCCCTGTCCACCTGCATCATGAAAGCCTCCGTCCTGTCACAGAGCACACTGATTTCCCCCAGTCTTTGGCAAAGCCAACAGAGTACAAAAGCTGTATATGGCACCAGCATAGAAAGGCTGACTGGCAGTTGAGGCTAAACAGACTTTTTTTCAATAGAAATACTTGATTAACAGACCAGAGTAGTTCTGTCTTAGAACAATTATTGCAAGCTCCGTGGCAACTTGCGTAAGGAAGAGTGGTTACATATCAGCTGTTACCCTTGCTTATCCTTATCTCCATTGGGGCTTCAACCATTACTTTATTTCAACAAACATAGTTAAATTAACATATCCCATCACACAAAAGAGGAGGCAAGCTGAGATCAGGCTCATAGGATATGACACTTGTACTGCCTCCCTACACCTGTGATGCTACATCACCTTTGACTGTCTGGCCATCCATCACATTTTATTTCTACAATTACTGAGCAAAAGTGTCAGCATGAGCCTCATTGTATGTCATTAACAATCATTGTTTGACCTCTGTGGATCATCCTTTTGTATTGTTAAATGGTTTGGGGCAGGACAGGAACCACAGAAGGCAGACATGTATCTAGTTTGACACAAAAAGCACAAACCAGGCTGTGAACAAAAAGAGAGTGCTTGTTCACCCAGAAAGCAGTTGGAGACAAGTAGGTGAATATTATTTCCACCATGCTCAAAACTATTCTTCTACAGGGCAAGAAGGCAAGCCACTCTTTACTGAATGGAAGGTGTACGTGTGCACACACGCACATGCATGTGCCAGCATGAGGAGGAAAAAGAAATCCATGGAGCTGCTGGTGGTGACGTGTTACTGCTCAGTATGAGCCTTTAAAGCTTCACTAATGAGCTCGGGAGCCAGCAAGAAACTGTATAAGACGATACTCTGCCAAAGAATCAGTTGTGCCACAAATACACATCTATTTTTGTATAAAAATCTTACAGATGCATAGCGCTGGTTTTGCCAGCTCTGGTTATCCACAAAAGTAGTGATGAACATAAGCCAAAGCTACTCACATCGTAGGGCATAAAAGAGGAGGTGATCGGTATTCGAGGCCGGGGAGCGAGAAGTGGGTAAACTTTGTAATGCCTGCACTGGGGCTGGGTAAACTCAATTTCAGCTGCAGGGATCCAACAGTGTTTTTTGAACTGAGACCAAAACCTTGAAATAGTATCTATCTCCAAGGCAGCTAGGCAGTATCAGGCCAGAAGCCATATGTTACCTCTTTAGGGTGCCTCAGACTTCTTCAGATGGAAAAAAGAGGTTACTTCAGTCTCCTTGCCATTGTTGTTATTTAGTAAACATAACACTTTTGCAGCAGCAGTTAAAAACCCTAATCCTGGATGAAAGCCCTGGCCTGCTACACGACACAGAACTCAGAATAAAATTATGATCCCAGCCTATAAGAACTGCCAAGCCAAATAATGCACACAACCCGTGTCGGATTAATCTCATTTTCTTCTGCTGAGACCCCCACATATGCCAGAAAGTGTTATTTATTTATAGGTTTAATTTACTGGACTAAACATAATAATTATATACTATAGAGTTGGAAGAGAATTAAAACTTTCTTTTGCCGTCAGCATGATCCGGATTCAAAAAAGTAAAAGTACTCCACAGTATTTACTTCTCTGTAGCCATGTTGGATCGACCATCTGTTCTTTTTTCCCACAGAAATCAGCAGCAAGATGAAATACTATGCAATTCAACAAGAGCTGAGCCCTGAAGAAATTGCCCAGAAGCTGAGTGAGGCTGAGGAGATGCTGCAGGAGATCAAACGCCGTAAGCCTTTCACTGATCAGAGGCAACTCGCGGATAAGGAGGAGAACAAAGCGGAGGACCGTAAGTTTTAATTCTGTTTTCCACTCACCCACATGTTGATGCGCAGCTGGCACAGGCCAGGCAGCTCTAGATGTCTAGATGGGGAGGACCAGCGGGCACTTGGCAAGCACCAACTGGAGCGCTGAAGATGCTGCTGCTGCTTTCAAACGCCTGCCCCGAGTCCCTGCTGGCGCTTGCTGCCCCCGGGGCAAAATGGGCAGAAAAATGTGTGTGTGCCTGTGCACTGCAGCACCTCAGCGACAGCTGCTTAAGAAGGTTCGTGCCAGGGCTGGAATTGCTCGTGTGAATGTCTGTCTTACCCCCTGCCAGCTCTGCCACGGGGACTGGGAACTCCAGCAAAGAGAGAAGAACCGCTGGGATGG